ATCTGATACGAGTCAAACATGAGAGAAGTCAAAGCTGTAAAATCTGACGTCACGCAGTGTTTTTAAAATGTAGTAATTTTATGTTGTTGAGCGACATTTCAAATGATAATTTTCGTACCGTCTCTCTCAAACATAAGATAAAATACGTCTTAAATGCCTTTTTGCTCTTCGCCGAACCATTCTACCTGGCCTCTTCGGCTGGATGTTGGATTCTTTGAAGTACTCGTACAGGCGTACAGGCGTACATCCTGCTCGTCAAACCGGCTTGGTTCTTCTTTTAAGATCGTTTGGAGCGAGTTTTCAATGAGGACTCCTCTCGTACTCGTGCATACAAGTCGCCGACCCCAGGATGGTTGGCAGTCGCGGCGGCGGCGTGTGCAGGTACACATATAACAAGCCTCTTCATCGCCATGTGCGTGTTTTTCAAACTGCATAGGATTATATGTCAATGAATAATGATTTAGAATTTCCCAAACTAATTAAGTTGTTTTCTGGGTCAGCCTATTTTTAACAACCAAACGGATCGGCACTTGAAAGGGGACATAATAACTTTGAAATAAATGTCATGACCCAAACTAGGGATGACTTCGAACACCTATCGAACTTAAAGCATATGTCACTGCTAATAACAAAAAAATAACGCAGCAGCTTAAAACAAAAGAAAACCACCTTGATTATTGGAACCCTTACTGTTTCCAAGATCGGGCTGCTTCAAGCTTCAAGACGGTCAAGGACTGGAAATTGCGGTTTTCTGGCCCTCTTGCCTTTACCCACCTCTCGTCTGCCCCTCTTTCGCCACCCGGTAATCGCATAATTTATATACTTATAAAGTCATACACTCATAATACTGTTTACGCCGATGCAGACACCACTCACGCATTTTCTTCAATTTTCGTCCTCTCGGTGCGGGTAATGATGCTTATTAAGAAGCCGTTTCCATAATGCCTAACAATCTCGTCTCGCCGGCCCGGTCCAGCCGCTGCTCCTTTGCGCTGCTGCGCCCTGACCCTTGTCACCGTGTCACGCACCTGACCTTGGAGCCGTGGTGGCCGCAGCCAGGCGCAGCCACAATGGTGGGAGACAAGCGCCCTGCCCCCGAGGCGTAGGGAATGTCTATATATGTCGTCCCTGAATCGCGGGCGAACTGCATTGGGAAGTCTCGGGAAGTCTGCTGCTATAGGTCCACTCTCACGGACCGGACAAGAAGGCGTTGCGACACTCTCTTGTGTCTCGTAGACCGCGCGCGACCCAGACCTTGACGCGTCCTGGCTGTTCCGGCCGCGACGTCGCGACGTGCTTTGCTGGGCGAACCATGAACCATCCCGCCGCCCAAGCCTACCGTGAGTTAGATCGCATCTGTGTCTCTTTCTCCGCCCGCTCCCGCGCTCCATCCTGCGTCTGTTTTGAAACATTTTAATGGCGAATCATGGGGTGAAGGCCGGCAGTGATACCACTCCACTCGCCGACTATAAATAAAGTGTTTGCCGGCAAATTAAGATGCAAACAACAACAACCGCGTGATGACACAAATGGAGACTGGGCCGGACTTGGCACGCCAGAGAGGGGCCTCAATTTCCACTCCAATTATTTATGCATCATCAATACTTGATGATCGGGAATACTCTTAGAATCTTTCGCACAGCGCAGCGTCTCTAATTATGGAACAGCACCTCGAACAGCACTCTTTATATTTTCGAATTATTCGCTCAAATGTTTCCACTATTCACTTTATTATAATGTGAAGAACTGTTGCAAAATCAAAATGTAAAACATTATGACAGTTATGCAGCTTACACTGAGAAATAAAGTGAAACTAGCGAGCACATGCAAGTGCACAACACTACGTTCCACACCCCTAAGTGTGTTACTGGACATTTGAACACTAAAAAGTGTTCAACACTTTAAATTATTCAAATAACCTGTGCGACACCTAAGAGAGTCATTGAGTTGAACACTATACTGACAAAACCATCGTGCAACTCCTCAACCCTTGTTAGTGTGCAACTGAAAGTTTAATGTTTGCAAGTATACAACCCCGTAGCTGTGCACACTTAAAAGTGCACAACCGCCGAGTGAAAAACTTGCAAGTTTGCTACTACGTAGTTGAACAACACATTCATGTATTCAGCTTGTAGTTGCACACTTACATGTGCATGCCGGTTGTACACCTCTGTTTTCAGTGTAAACGTGATGACTTGAGTTACACAGGTTACACCGTCATCATATGTTATAAATTTAAATTTGTGCAGATAGCACGAAGACAATTCGTTCGTTCGTGTTATTAATCATCTCGTTCGGATATCGTTGTTTTCTACCTAACCACCGATCTAAAGTATGCTATTACTGGCTTCACTCGAGATATATTTGTCTTCCCCGTCTTTCTGAGATGAGGAGACTTTGAGAGTGTCACTGCAGTGTAGTCTTCACACGTGACCGTCGGAGCGTAGGGGCGGGGGACACGGAGTCACGACCCATCACGGACTTCCCTGTCGCTGCCTTCGTGCTGTCAGCACTGTCGATATCGTCTGGGAAGCGAAACAAAAGCCGAACACTCGAGTCGTTTTGACAGACCGTCTTTGTCCCGCGCACGCCTGCAGTGGATGGCCATTGGTCGGACTGGGTCCGACAACAAAAGCGGCGCAAAATGTCGATGGGTCTCGCCTCTCTCTCGTGACCCGCAACGGTCGCGCCTCACTTGACTTGTCGAACTTTGCGCATGATGATGCGAACTGTCCCTCTGTCCCTCTTCACTCGCTGCGCGGCAGTGGAGATAGCTACACAGCACACAAACACTCTCTCTCTCTCTCTCTCTCTCTATCTCTCTCTCTCTCTCTCGCGCGCGCGCCCTCAAACACACTCCCACACACACACGCACACACACACATTCGCACGGGCGCACACATCGACTTCCCTTCAACAGCAGACCGTCATGTTTTATGCTGCTTGTTGATGAGCAATAAAACAATCATTGCTCTCCGATGGGGTGATCCGGTGTGCTATCACTGCTGTGTCCCTGTTCCCCCGCTCCCTCGGACCATCATGCGCCAGTGTTTGGCGCTCCAGCCGCGGAGTCACCACAGCAGTATCCATAATTAATTCACGCAGTGATCGAAAGTGGAAAAAGGTTGCAAGCTTTGCCTCTTTATAATACGCGCCCACTGTACAAAAAAAATCCGTGGTAAGGCCAGGAGAATGCGGATATGTCGAACGCGTTAAAATCGGACCGGACCTGTCTATGGAGGTGAACCGGGGAGGAACCGGAGGCGAGCATAATGAGGTGGATCATAGGCACAACGGGCAGATATGACGTGTCCGTCATGCGGTCCGCGCTAACCAAGGAGAGTAAACAATTGCCATACGTTCTCTTTAAGTAGTTTTTCGTATGTTTTTTGAACCGCTGTTTCTTCAATTCAAATCAAAATTTCCACAATTTTACGTTTATTAACATGTTTAATCTTCGCCCTTGCCTTGTGTATATTTCCTCCAACCACCCCCCCACCTGCCCCCTGCCACCCAAACGATCCATTGCTGACCACGGCAGTTAAAAATGAAGAAAGAATCGCATCACTGCATGCAGCGGTCCAGCAGTCCTGGCCACGCCAGCCGCTCCCGCCTGCCATGTGATGAAAATGGAAACGAAACCGGTATATCTCAAGGCCAGCCGGCCGTGCGCTGCTCGCGCCGCTGCGCTCGTCGCCCGGCGGGGCAGTGCGGCCCGGCCTGCGCCCGGGCCGGCGGCAGCCTGGGCGGCAGTGCCGGGTAGGGGGCGGGGCGGGGCGGTGACTCATGATTATTATTGAATTGTAATTAGTTAAACATTTGCCACACGCAGGCTTGGTGCATTAAAGATCGCTTAAAAGGGGGGACCGGTGTGAGCGCGAACTGCATTAATTTGATGATGGGCGAGGAAGCACTCGATTCCGTGGGATCTCTCACGGAACGCATTGTGAGATGGCGTCTTGTCTTGACAAAGCTCCTGTGACGCGCAAAAGTAAACAGATTAGTGTAGCAAATGGGCCGTTGACTTTGGTGTTCACTTTGTCAATGTACCCCTGTATTTACCACTGAGTTGTAATGATTAATTAGCGATAAGGCTTCATGATGTGATGAACTGAATTAAATTGAAACAGCTGAGGCATTAGCGCGTGACGTCCACGGCAAAAAGTTTGTTTTGGCTACCAGCAGGGCAAGGCTGTCCCAGCTAACAGCAGTGGGTCGCTTAATTCATGTATTTTTTGGTCCCCGGCGCGTGCCATGTCATATGTCATCGACTTACCGCTGCTCTCCGATCCGCAGCAGAGGAAAAAGAGCGAGCAAGCTCCCTGCTTTATTGAGATCTCTTGTTGCTCAGGGTGGAGGTGCCAGCGGCTGACACTGCTTCATTATCGTTAGACCTGACAAAGTACGCATCGGGCAAACATACAAGCTTCATGCAGCTGCATACACGCGGCCAAGTGCATTGTGTAATTTAGAAACCGGTTCTACCCCGCCTGCTGCTGCTGCAGTTCATTTTGCAACGCCCAGAGGCCAGAGGCAGCAGCGGCCGGCCCAGCGGCGGCGGTCCAGACGCGCGGCCAGGAGGTGGCGGCGCGGCGCGGGCTCACAAAGAGAAAAGGAGGGGGGAGTGGGTGCGTAAAGGAAAGATGTTTGCCATTTCCCGCACCTTGCAGAGGAGAGAGGGAGAGAGAGAGAGAGAGAGAGAGAGAGAGAGAGAGAGAGAGAAGACCTGGGAGCGGGGGCCCTAATGACTCCAGACGGGCAGGCTGATGAAGAAGTCAATGAGCAATAATGCAGCACTCTTCTGACACCCAGGACGCAGGAGTTGCCGGGTGGTTGCATCTCGACCACCACGTCTAATAAAAACTGACCACAATCATTTGGTCGAGTTTTGTACAATTTTGAATCCAAAAAATTCGATTCTTAAATAATTTTAGTCAGACTTGTGAGTGAATTCTTCTATTTGGTAATGCGTTACGATGGTATTCTGATTCCTTTTGCAGGATGTCGCCCAAGGCTATGATCGAGACGGGCCCGCCGGGGCTGCAGGACGAGCCGCCTCCTATGCCCGCCGTGGTGGTGTCGCCCAGCCCGTCCGCCTCGCGACAGCGGTTCATCTCCATGGTGATGCTGGGCGCCGAAGTGGCCTGGCTGCTGATCCAGACCGTCTTCATGATCCTAGACGCCGTGTACCACGCCATCAAGCCTAACGACGGCAAGGACCTCTCCGGGAAGCTGGTGCTGGTGAGTGTGCCTTTCGTGTGCTTTTGTGCCACCATTGCTCTGCGAGCCCCCGCCGCGCCGCGACCCGCCGTGCGGTGACCTTGACCCGAGCGCAGAGCAGACTCATTCACAAACGTGGCTTGGGGGGAATTTTCGCGTGACTTTACCCAGGGCGCACGTGATGTGAGCAGCACGCCCGCTGCACGCTCCGCCCCCGCCACGCCTCGCCGCGCTCTGCAGCTGTTGGAGCCATATATCTCGGCAGGAGCTGCGGCAGGATCAGCCGCCGGCCGGCATTCTAGACGCGGTCTGCCCGCAGGACATCCTGTCGGG